TGGGGGGGGGAATGAGGAGAATGGGAGTCATCTGTCTGCTCAAGGTCACACAGAGGACAAGGGCAGCCTGGGGAGGGACTACAACTCCCAGCATGTCCTGTATAATATAATATCATCGTAGTTGTTGGCAGAAGTAGGAAGTGCTTGATGCTCCGGAAGGACACCGACACAAAAAGTCTACACAGGAGTTGTCACCCTATGCCTGATGAGAGTTCTACTTCCAACTTCTCGATGAAAGGGAATTTATATTTTATTTTATGTTTTTACATTTCTTAAAATATAGATGTGAAATCTCACCATTGTGGGAGGGGCAGAGACACAAACTACTGGAGGGGAAATCTCACCATTGTGGGAGGGGCAGAGACACAAACTACTGGAGGGAATCTTACCATTGTGGGAGGGGCAGAGACACAAAGTACTACAAAGAAATACCTGTCAAAAATTGCTATAATAATTTTGGGTGGGACAACCTATTCGATATTCTATATTTTACAGAGATGTTAATATTTCAGATCTTTATTTCCCCTGTCAGACATTTGGAGTCGGTGTTCGGTGTGAATCTCTCGGAGGGTCCTTCTCAGCGCCTCCTGTCATCATATTCTCCGTCACATTGTCATGTTCGTCAGCCGCTGATGACATCTGGGACGTGACTAAGGGACAACGGCCCAAATGGAATCTGCGAGACCATCTGCGGTGCAGGCCGGGCTGCCGGCCAACTGTGGGCGATCGCAGACGCACCACGCGGCCCGTGACGGCCAGATACGGATGCGGATTGACGTGCGGCGGCGATGACGCTGCAGCGGCTCACCTGCTCGGGGTTGGCGATGAAGTTGATCGCCGTGTGGTGCCGATCATCTTCCTGGATGAGGCTGAAGGTGAACTGATAGTCGATCAGCAGGCTGTCTGTGGAGAAACATCAGAGATCAGAGATTAGTACACTAGAGGGAAGACAACCCTCAATGTCCACACACCTCAATAACAGTACTACAACCCTCAATGTCCACACACCTCAATAAAAGTACTACAACCCTCAATGTCCACACACCTCAATAACAGTACTACAACCCTCAATGTCCACACATCTCAATAACAGTACTACAACCCTCAATAACAGTACTACAACCCTCAATGTCCACACACCTCAATAACAGTACTACAACCCTCAATGTCCACACACCTCAATAACAGTACTACAACCCTCAATGTCCACACACCTCAATAACAGTACTACAACCCTCAATGTCCACACACCTCAATAACAGTACTACAACCCTAAAGACTGCCCCCTGCTGGATCAGTTCTGATCTCTGCGGACATAAAGATCACTGCAACAAAGCTGCCCGCGGGCCCCAGGGGCCACACAGGTGAGAGCCAGTCATATGGAGGTGTTATTATTGGGTCCAGCTCCAGACAGGAGAGAAATACATGGATGGGGCGATATAATCTGCCAAACAATCTGTATCCTGCCCCCCCAATGCTGCCGCCCGGCGCGGCCCGCTCTCCTAGGGACACGGCCCCGATTCTTCTCTGCAGAGGTCCAGTAACGCTTTCAGGTCTTGTTGTTCCCCGCAGCCTGTGACTGGACAGTGCCTGCAGCAGACTGATCACTGGGGGAGGGGAGACTGAAGAAATGCTTCCTCCTGCCTGCAGCAGACTGATCACTGGGGGAGGGGAGACTGAAGAAATGCTTCCTCCTGCCTGCAGCAGACTGATCACTGGGGGAAGGGGAGACTGAAGAAATGCTTCCTCCTGCCTGCAGCAGACTGATCACTGGGGGAGGGGAGACTGAGGAAATGCTTCCTCCTGCCTGCAGCAGACTGATCACTGGGGGAAGGGGAGACTGAGGAAATGCTTCCCCCTGCAGCAGACCGATGACATCATCTCAGCCTAGGCCAAGTCACTGAGTGGAGCTCCAGGACGGCTCTTTAATTATATAAGGAGGAGATTTTCTGAACGTATATTGAGACAAGTCGGTGACAGGTCCCCTTTAAATCCATGAAGCGCCGGTGTCCGCGGCGCAGGAAGATGTACTTACAGATCGGCTCGGGTGACTCTATGAAGAATGTTTACGAGGAGATCTATAAATATATATATTGTATCTGTGTATTGATTGGAGGATTTCCAGCACAGAGCGAGCTCTCCGCACGGATCATTAAACCCCCGCGCTCCCGCCGCCGCGCCTCCCCATACTATAACAAGGTAAAGCGCACTCGGCGGTAATTGCATTTCTTAATACGTATCGATCGGCCGCGTTAAACGCTCCTCTCCGAAGCCGCGGAGATTTCTGATGAAGATACGAGAAGCCGGCAGGATTTTATTTCCCATAAATTGGAACTTATAAACTTTAATAGGCTCCGCCTCCCCGAAAACCGCCGCCGCAGGTTAGCCATACGGGTGGCCATTCACCGGGCGCCTCTAAAAAAAAAAGCTCCTCTGTACAGAGACTGATGTGACTGTGGGGGGAGGGGACATTAGAGTGTAAGCTCCTCTGTACAGAGACTGATGTGACTGTGGGGGGAGGGGACATTAGAGTGTCAGCTCCTCTGTACAGAGACTGATGTGACTGTGGGGGGAGGGGACATTAGAGTGTAAGCTCCTCTGTACAGAGACTGATGTGACTGGCTTTGTATAGGTCAGATAGATGGTATATAGATGCTCGGTGGGTCCCCGCATGCCTTCCACGTCTCCAGGTGAGGGGCTCCTCAGCCTCCCCCGTAGTGCAGCACTGTCAGTTCTCGCGCCGAGCCGCCATTCAGAGTATAGGAAGGGCTAGTATGTTGCGCTTGGTTTAGTAGATTCATTTGTTTTTTTTCGTACTCTCATATGTGTCATAAACTATAAATGGTGATATTAATCCAAGTGTAGTTCCGTGGTGATTATTCTAATGTAAAAAATAATAAATAAATAATGGTGGTTTTAAATATTGTGAATAATAAGTGATATATGTGTATGATTAAATGATGACCTTCCGTGTATCTAAAATCTGTGTATAATAAACTTAAATCCTTGTGAATAATTGATTCTTTGTGTCTCTTTTCAGTATTCGAAAGGGTTCCGCCTAAACGAAACCCGTGTCTCTGAGGGCTCTGTGTGTCTCTGAGGGCTCTGTGTGTCTCTGAGGGCTCTGTGTGTCTCTGAATTCTCTGTGGTCTCGGTGTATCTCTGAGGGCTCTGTGTATCTCTGAGGGCTCTGAGTGTCTTTGAGGGCTCTTTGTGTCTCTGAGGGCTCTGTGTGTCTCTATAGGGGCTCTGTGTGTCTCTGAGGGCTCTGTGTATCTCTGAGGAATCTGTGTGTCTCTGAAAAGGACTTTGTGTTCTCAATCTCTTATTCTATTTTAAAAGGGGAAATATCAGGGATCTGTTTAGACCCCCAATATTTCCCCGAAGCCCCTAAAAGTACAAAATAAAAATATAAAAAAATGTGGAATAAAAAAACATTTTCGGTTACATTTCGGTTTTCGCATTTCTATTTCGGTGCACCTCTAATATTGATGATCGATAGATTAAATATAGATTGATATTATTGATAGATAGATAGATAGATAGATAGATAGATAGATAGATAGATAGATAGATAGATGGGTTTATAGGCAGATTGATGGATCTGGGAGGATTTATTAAAGTGACAGTTGTAAAGTGACAGTTGTAAAGTGACAGTTGGTCTGCCCAGAGCCCTGAATGTGACCCCTGTGTCTCACTGTGAACTCACTGATGTGAATATCAGTGGGTATATAAGGCCGCCCCCCCCTGACACTGGTCACTTCTTGATGACACTTTGTGTGAGTCGGATCTCCTTTGTGATATTTCAGATTATAGATGGATTGATTGGTGATAGATGATTGATATTGATTATTAGATTGATATTGATTATTGACAGAGAAGTTAATTACAGATTGATGGTTCTGGGAGGATTCTAGAAAGTGACAGTTGATTTGCCCAGAGCCCTGAATGTGAATGGAGTTCATTGATTGTATATAGATTAATATTGATTGGTGATAGATGATTGACAGATATTGTTTATAGATTGATATTGAATTTTGACAGATTGATAAATTATAGATTGATATTATTGATTGGTTGATTGATAGATCAGTTTATAGGCGGATTGATGGTCCCGGCAGGTTCTAGAAAGTGACAGTTATGTTGGTCCAGAGTCCTGAATTTGATTCCTATGAGGGGTGATGTGGAGGGGGGATGCCAATACTTTTGCCAATATAGTATATATAAACATTATTAATACATAGAGATAGATAGAGAGAGAGAGAGAGAGAGAGAGAGAGAGAGAGAGAGAGATAGGATAGATGGATAGATAGAGAGAGAGAGAGAGATAGATAGAGAGAGAGATAGATAGATAGATAGATGGGTTTATAGGCAGGTTGATGGATCTGGGAGGATTTATTAAAGTGACAGTTATAAAGTGACAGTTGTAAAGTGACAGTTGGTCTGCCCAGAGCCCTGAATGTGACCCCTGTGTCTCACTGTGAACTCACTGATGTGAATATCAGTGGGTATATAAGGCCGCCCCCCCCTGACACTGGTCACTTCTTGATGACACTTTGTGTGAGTCGGGTCTCCTCTCTGATATTTCTTCTATTAGTCTATTCTGATATGAAACAAACTCCATGCATATCTTCTATCATCCTGTATCATTGTGGATGGAGTTCATTGATTGTATATAGATTATAGATGGATTGATTGGTGATAGATGATTGATTGATAGATGGGTGTGTAGGCAGATTGATGGTCCTGGGAGGATTCTAGAAAGTGACAGTTATTTTGGGCAGAGCTTCCCTCTCATGTGACTCCGGCTGACACGAGTCGGACTTATTTTCAGTCAAATTAAAATTTGTCATCATTTTTTTCTCTTTGCAGGTTAATCAAGAAGTCGCTTGCTGGGAGTAATCTCAGTGAGTTTTGCAGTGCGTTTCTGTGCGTTTCTGAGCGTTCCTGTGCGTCTCTAAACGTTATCAGTGCAATTCTGTGCGATTTTTCGAGCGATTGTCAAATCTCGGAGTGATGTCATCCCATTCCGGATTTCTTGAGGAGAGATTTGTGGAGACTTGTCGGTGGATTCCATCAGTGAGTATCTCTTGTGTTTCCTCTTCAATGTATAGAATTGGATTATTGATTCATTTGGTGAATAGATTTCCCCATTTCCCTTATTATTGAAGACCAGCCAGTTCATTGGTGGAGGTCGGGCCTTACAGTACAGCTTGTAGAGAACCCTTTACCCCTGGGCCCCCATGATAAGGCATAATTGGCTGCTGTGCTAGGTGTCCTATTACCCCTGGGCCCCCATGATAAGGCACCATTGGCTGCTGTGCTAGGTGTATTAGTCCCCCTGGGCCCCCATGATAAGGCATCATTGGCTGCTGTGCTAGGTGTCCTATTACCCCTGGGCCCACATGATAAGGCACCATTGGCTGCTGTGCTAGGTGTATTAGTCCCCCTGGGCCCCAGTGATAAGGCACCATTGGCTGCTGTGCTAGGTGTACTATTACCCCTGGGCCCCCATGATAAAGGCACCATTGACTGCTGGGCTAGTTGTACTATTCACCCTGGGCCCCAATGATAATGCATCAATGGTTGATATGCTATGATAATGCATCAATGGTTGATATGCTAGGTGTCCTAATACCCCTGGGCCCCCATGATAAGGCACCATTGGCTGCTGTGCTAGGTGTACTATCCCCCCTGGGCCCCAGTGATAAGGCACCATTGGCTGCTGTGCTAGGTGTACTATCCCCCCTGGGCCCCAGTGATAAGGCACCATTGGCTGCTGTGCTAGGTGTACTATTACCCCTGGGCCCCCATGATAAGGCACCATTGGCTGCTGTGCTAGGTGTCCTATTACCCCTGGGCCCCCATGATAAGGCATCATTGGCTGCTGTGCTAGGTGTCCTATTACCCCTGGGCCCCCATGATAAGGCACCATTGGCAGCTGTGCTAGGTGTCCTATTACCCCTGGGCCCCCATGATAAGGCACCATTGGCTGCTGTGCTAGGTGTCCTATTACCCCTGGGCCCCCATGATAAGGCACCATTGGCTGCTGTGCTAGGTGTCCTATTACCCCTGGGCCCCAATGATAATGCATCAATGGTTGATATGCTAGGTGTTCTATTACCCCTGGGCCCCTATGATAAGCCACATGGATGTAGGCTATCCCTATCCTATCCCTCTTTAGATAAACTAGGTGTACTAGTCCCCCTGGGCCCCAGTGATAAGGCACCATTGGCTGCTGTGCTAGGTGTACTATTACCCCTGGGCCCCCATGATAAGGCACCATTGGCTGCTGTGCTAGGTGTCCTATTACCCCTGGGCCCCCATGATAAGGCATCATTGGCTGCTGTGCTAGGTGTCCTATTACCCCTGGGCCCCCATGATAAGGCACCATTGGCAGCTGTGCTAGGTGTCCTATTACCCCTGGGCCCCCATGATAAGGCACCATTGGCTGCTGTGCTAGGTGTCCTATTACCCCTGGGCCCCCATGATAAGGCACCATTGGCTGCTGTGCTAGGTGTCCTATTACCCCTGGGCCCCAATGATAATGCATCAATGGTTGATATGCTAGGTGTTCTATTACCCCTGGGCCCCTATGATAAGCCACATGGATGTAGGCTATCCCTATCCTATCCCTCTTTAGATAAACCCAGCACCAGACATAGTCAGCAAAGGGCACCTAGGCCCCATTTACCTACTTCCCAAGAACAAACACATACAGGTGAAACTCGAATAATTAGAATATTGTGCAAAAGTAATGGTAATAATTGCTGCAAAAGGGGCCCAAACCAAGTACTGAGTACATATGCATGCTTGTACTTTTCAGAGGTCCGATATTGTTCTATGTACAATCCTTGTTTTATTGATTGCATGTAATATTCTACTTTTCTGAGGTTGTGGATTTGGGGTTCTTGGGGTTTTCATGAGCTGTAAGCCATAATCATCACAATGATGACAAATCACAGCTTGAACTATCTTGCTTTGCATGTAATGAGTCTATCTCATATATTAGTTTCACCGCATAAGTTGCATTAGTGAAATAAATGAACTTTGCACGATATTCTAATTATTCCAGTTTCACCTGTACCTAGCACAGATAGAATAGATGGGCTCCTATACCCCGGGGGCCCTTGTGCAGGTGCATTATATTTTTTTGCTGTCTGTGAACCGTCTCAGAGAGTTCCGCTTACTTCCTCATATACTGAGATGTGAGGGGAAGTGAGGGGAAACTTTCCCAGTCAGGACACAGAAATCAATGAAAACCTTGGAGGGGTTTGAACCTTCTCCCCACTCCATCCAAATCTAATAAGAAAACATTCTGGGTGAAGTTCCGCCATCAAATCTCTGCTTCCACTAACCTTCTTTTTTTCTTTATAGGCCGGCATGGAGAACAGCCATATGGAGATTATCCCCATAGAGAACATCTACATGGAGGACACCCATATGGAGACTATCGCCATGGAGCACAGCCATATGGAGATTATCCCCATGGAGAACATCTACATGGAGAACATCCATATGGAGACTAACCCCATGGAGAACGTCTATATGGAGAACATCCATATGGAGACTATCCCCATGCAGAACGTCTATATGGAGAACATCCATATGGAGACTATCCCCATGGAGAACATCTACATGGAGGACACCCATATGGGGACTATCCCCATGGAGAATGTCTATATGGAGAACATCCATATGGAGACTATCCCCATGGAGAACATCTACATGGAGGACACCCATATGGAGACTATCCCCATGGAGAACGTCCTTATGGGGACTATCCCCATGGAGAACGTCTATATGGAGAACATGTATATGGAGAACATCCATATGGAGACTATCCCCATGGAGAACGTCTATATGGAGAACATCCATATGGAGACTATCCCCATGGAAAACACCTATATGAAGACCACCTTCAAGGAGGAGAGGGGAGAGGAGGAGCGACAGAGAGAGGTGAAGAGGAGATTTAAAGAGGCCGTAATGGCAAAGATTGCAGAGATTAAGAGGGAGGAAGTGGAGGCCATGAAGGTGGCGCAGGAGAGGAGGAGAGTAGAGAGGAGTGAGATTGTGAGGAAGGTGCAGGAATTGATAAATTGGAAGGAGAGGCAAATGGAGGAGAAGAGGAGGAGTGAGGAGGAGAGGCAGAGAGTGGAGGAAGAGAAGATAGAAGAGCAGAGAGTGAAGGTGGAGATGGAGAGGTAGGTTCACATTCTTCTATATACATACATTTTAGGAACATAGAGAATATAGAAGACCATTGAAGCCGTCACATGACCTCCATTAGGATTACACATCAGTAGTACAATATGTAACCCGTTATCTACACAGTATCTGTATCTCATAGACACCCCCAAGTATAGACCATTATTGGGGGACCTTTTCATGTCCCTCTAATTCTCATATTACTCAAACTGGAGCTCCATAGAACTGATCAGTCAGCAGAGAGCCGCCTCCAATTTCCAGATAGATTACATCCGGGGCAGATTTACATCTATATGGGAAAGGGAGGAGCTTTGGGGAGAGTTTGCCTTTTAATTGGGGGTAACAATGGAATATTCCAGAGAAATATTTTGTTTTCCCCAATTGCAGCCAGCAGGTGGAGCTCTCAGCCATTTTTTACATGATTTCCAGGCTGCCCTAACCGGCTTTGCTGAAATGAGACTTTTGTTTGCCGAGCTCAAACTCTCAAGCTGAAATTTACAAACATAAAGAAAAGAGTCAGAGCAGTGACTCTGCCCCCTCCAAGAACAGCCATATGGAGATTATCCCCATAGAGAACATCTACATGGAGGACACCCATATGGAGACTATCGCCATGGAGCACAGCCATATGGAGATTATCCCCATGGAGAACATCTACATGGAGAACATCCATATGGAGACTAACCCCATGGAGAACGTCTATATGGAGAACATCCATATGGAGACTATCCCCATGCAGAACGTCTATATGGAGAACATCCATATGGAGACTATCCCCATGGAGAACATCTACATGGAGGACACCCATATGGGGACTATCCCCATGGAGAATGTCTATATGGAGAACATCCATATGGAGACTATCCCCATGGAGAACATCTACATGGAGGACACCCATATGGAGACTATCCCCATGGAGAACGTCCTTATGGGGACTATCCCCATGGAGAACGTCTATATGGAGAACATGTATATGGAGAACATCCATATGGAGACTATCCCCATGGAGAACGTCTATATGGAGAACATCCATATGGAGACTATCCCCATGGAAAACACCTATATGAAGACCACCTTCAAGGAGGAGAGGGGAGAGGAGGAGCGACAGAGAGAGGTGAAGAGGAGATTTAAAGAGGCCGTAATGGCAAAGATTGCAGAGATTAAGAGGGAGGAAGTGGAGGCCATGAAGGTGGCGCAGGAGAGGAGGAGAGTAGAGAGGAGTGAGATTGTGAGGAAGGTGCAGGAATTGATAAATTGGAAGGAGAGGCAAATGGAGGAGAAGAGGAGGAGTGAGGAGGAGAGGCAGAGAGTGGAGGAAGAGAAGATAGAAGAGCAGAGAGTGAAGGTGGAGATGGAGAGGTAGGTTCACATTCTTCTATATACATACATTTTAGGAACATAGAGAATATAGAAGACCATTGAAGCCGTCACATGACCTCCATTAGGATTACACATCAGTAGTACAATATGTAACCCGTTATCTACACAGTATCTGTATCTCATAGACACCCCCAAGTATAGACCATTATTGGGGGACCTTTTCATGTCCCTCTAATTCTCATATTACTCAAACTGGAGCTCCATAGAACTGATCAGTCAGCAGAGAGCCGCCTCCAATTTCCAGATAGATTACATCCGGGGCAGATTTACATCTATATGGGAAAGGGAGGAGCTTTGGGGAGAGTTTGCCTTTTAATTGGGGGTAACAATGGAATATTCCAGAGAAATATTTTGTTTTCCCCAATTGCAGCCAGCAGGTGGAGCTCTCAGCCATTTTTTACATGATTTCCAGGCTGCCCTAACCGGCTTTGCTGAAATGAGACTTTTGTTTGCCGAGCTCAAACTCTCAAGCTGAAATTTACAAACATAAAGAAAAGAGTCAGAGCAGTGACTCTGCCCCCTCCCTGCTCTGTTCTCTGTTGTGACCCGCCCCCTACCCCTCTGTTTTCTGTTGTGACCCCCCCACCCCTCTGTTGTAACCCTGACCCTGCCCTGTTCTCGGTTGTGATCCCGCCCCCTACCTGTTCTGTTCTGATAGGCCATACAAAGTTTCAAACAGAGAGAGAGAGAGAGAGTGAAAGTAATCAGCTTCTGCTGTGCTCTCTTATTAGAAGACCCATAATGTCCCCCCTGTCATGGTAGAACTCTGGAATTAAATATTTTGTCTAACAATTATTTTATATAACTAGTAAAAAACAATAAAACATCATTATATATATTATGTACACAGCGCAATTGATGTGCAGCCATGTAGTGTTGCAGCCGCGTTTTCATACATCTGATTCAGATCTCTAGAGCCAGCCAGTAATTGGTGCCAAGATCACTGGTGGCCCCTCGCTGGCCCGGCGGCCCGGGCTCACCAATGGTCTTTTCTTGGTTCCTGAGGAAATAATCTATATTCATTTCTCTTTCAGCATTGATGAAGATCAGGAGCTGGAGGTCGGAAGGGGTATATGTGTTCTCCCTGGCCAGGGCCACCTCCCTGTCTTCCTTCACAGGAAACTCTTCCCGAATTACAAACCACGCCAGACCAAAGTAAGTGACCCCCTATACTTGTAAAGCCGGGGTACACACGCAGCCAATTTCGGCCGATTCAACAGGAGTGCGCCAAAATTCGCTGCGTTGGTGACCCTATTCCTTCGGCAGAAGTCCAACATTACATCAGAGACATGTTGGATAATCTTCATCCGCACAGAGTTTGTAGCCAACACGCTGCAAGCTCTCTATGTGTATTCTGACTGCGACCGGCGGCCACTGTCAGAATACAAAAGAAGCGGTGGGGGGGTTAGAGGCGTGATTTGTCTATGGACGATGGAAGATCTATGGATGTGGATGGAGGAATCTGTTCTATTTTTTGTCGTTCAGCCTGCAGGTTGGACGATAAAAATAAACCCGTGTATACCCGACTTTACATCGTCTGACGGGGGTAGCCAAACTCCGGGCCCTCCAGCTGTGGCGGAACTACAAATCCCATGAGGCATTGCAAGATTCTCACAGCCACAGACATGATTCCCGGAGAGAGATGCATCATGGGATTTGTAGTTTCACCACAGCCGGAGGGCCGGAGCTTGGCTATCCCTGGTCTATGGAGCTGAAAGAGACACGTCCGTCCGCTTCCGTCTTTCCAGAAGCAATTTGGTCCAGAGGAAGGGGAAAAAAAACACCATAAAGAAGCTGGGGGCGATTTTGCCTGATGAAAGGGGGCAGATTCCCTGGATCAAACTATTTCCTTTTCAGCTTCATCAGTCAGGCAATGGGCAAAACTCCGAAACTTCTAGTAACCAATCAGAAACCATCTATGGCTTTACCTGCTTTATACTGAAGGTTAAATGATAGATGAGTTTTATGTCCCCCTGGGGCTGCTATGATTAATGAAAAGGGCTCGTCTATTTTGTTTTTAGTTTTGGATAGAGCCAATTAAACCATCACCATTATGTAGCTAACTATACAGGACAGGGGGATGGGGGGTCATAGAAGGGTACAATGTGGGGGACACCCTAATATATCAAGAAAAAATTGTAAGCAGAGTTCCAATTTAAAATTTAAACCATTTACCTTATTTTTTTCTTTATAGATTGATATTGGTGCCGAGAAAGAGCAGAAAGGAGAGGAGGAGAAGGAGGAAGTGGAGGCTCTGAAAGCAGAGAATGAAGAGAAAGAGGAGAGAGGAGGATTTATAGAGAAAGTGGAGGCTCTGAAAGCAGAGAATGAGGAGAGCAGAGGATTGGTGGAGAAAGTGAAGGCTCTGAAAGCCCAAAGAGACAAGGAGAGAGAGGAGAACAGGAAAAGAGAGGAGGCCAGAGGATTGGTGGAGAAAGTGAAGGCTCTGAAAGCCCAAAGAGACAAGGAGAGAGAGGAGAACAGGAAAAGAGAGGAGGCCAGAGGACTGGTGGAGAAAGTGGAGGCTCTGAAAGCCCAAAGAGACAAGGAGAGAGAGGAGAACAGGAAGAGAGAAGAGGCCAGAGGATTGGTGGAGAAAGTGGAGGCTCTGAAAGCCCGGAGGAACAAGGAGAAAGAGGAGAGAAGAGCAGCAGAAGAGAACATGAATGCCGAGCAGAGCTCAGACCCAGGTTCATCCAGCTCTGGAACACCATCAGAGCGAGAACAGAATACAGGGCTATTCAGGCAGTGTCTACGATTCCTAATCTGCCGAAATTCTGCAGGGAGCCGGACCAGA